CTCTCAAAGTGCTGGGATTACAGGCTTGAGCCACCGCGCCCGGCCATTTGTTTGTTTTTTAAACAGAGTCTCACCCAGGCTGGAGTGCAGGGACATGATCTCGGCTCACTGCAACCTCTGACTCCCAGGTTCAAGTGATTCTCCCGCCTCAGCCTCCCAAGCAGCTGGGACTACAGGCGAGTGACACCACGCCCCGCTAATCTTTTTTTTTTTTTTTTGCATTTTTAGTAGAGATGGGATTTCATCATGTTAGCCAGGATGGTCTCTATCTCGTGACCTTGTGATCTTGTGATCGGCCCACCTTAGCCTCCAAAAGTGCTGGGATTATAGGCATGAGCCACCTCTCTGGACCTGATGTTTTTAAGTTTAATAGCTTGTCCTCTTTTTCTTGATTTCAGTAAGAATGTTGATCTGGAAAGTAAATGGTGACTATAATGACACTGTATAATCTTTAGTAGCTGAGCAACTAGGTTGTCAAAATGTGGTTGCCATTGTCTGCATATGTCTGAACCTAGTGATTTTCCTGGTAGCATGAAAGATCAGCCAGCAAACCCTTTAAGGCTAATTTGAGGAAGAAATATAAATCCTAATTGTTATCTGAAAACCTTCCTTTGATACTGGCTCATAAGATCAAGAGAGTGTGAGCATCAATGTTTATAGAGTGGAAGTCATTGGAAGAGAATTTTGGAGACAATAAGGAAACATTCTTGAGAAATACTGTAACACCGGCATTCTCAATGGCAGAGATGATATAATTACTGGAAAATACTCTAACCTCAATGACGCTGAGTAAAAAGGTATTTCGGAAGAGTTGACATCTGCATGTAAAAGCATTTTAAGAATACAATGTATTGGGTATATATTCTGTTTTGTATGTGCTAAAGAATGATATATGATGACAACAAATCTCTAAACATTAAAGATGTGCTTTAATGACTATGATAATTCCAGGATATAAAAAATGCATTACATTTTAAAAATGATTAAAATAGTTGCTACCTTCAAGTAATCTTTTCTTTTTTATTGTTGCATCGTTTGGAAGTAACAAAGACTATTCCTTTTTCAGAAACAGAACTCTTGTCAGGGGCACCGAAGGTTATAAATCAAATTATTAGATCATATGTGTTCTATCCTCCTACTTTGATAAATAAGATATAACAATGACCTGAAAAGCAGGTTAGAATTTAGAGTCTCACATTCCCTGGAGTTTCAAGCCAGACCATGGAGGCACAGAGAAAGGGAGTCCCTGAATCATCCTATCACCTACGCCCTGTCTATGGTCAGCCTCTTTTCTCTTCCCATCCCCATCTTCATCAGTCATGGCAAGGGGCTTTGGATCCACTTGTGGACATTTTAGGCTTCATATCCAAGCTTTGTTCACATTCACAATAAAAGCCATTTTTGGCCGGGCGAGGTGGCTCACACCTGTTATCCCAGCACTTTGGGAGGCCAAGGCAGGCAGATCTCCTGAGGTCAGGAGTTCTAGATCAGCCTGACCAACACAGAGAAATCCCGTCTCTCCTAAAAATACAAAATTAGCCGGGCATAGTGGCACATGCCTGTAATTCCAGCTGCTTGGGAGGCTGAGGTAGGAGAATCTCTTGAACCCAGGAGGCGGAGTTTGCAGTGAGCCAAGATTGTGCCACTGTACTTCAGCCTGAACAACAAGAGCAAAACTCCGTCTCAAAAAAAAAAAAAGGAATTCTTCAGCTTCCCCTCAAGCTTGGGGGTGCATACACCAGCAGCAGAAGAGGACAGACAAGGAAACAGCCTGCAGGAGTCCTAGAAACGAACTCAAGGCTGTTAGGGCAGGGAATGCTGGATTTCTCATGTCTGGAGTCCCTTTAAGAGGGGATCCGGGATTTTCTTGGGCTTGTTGATCTGGCACCACAAATTCCTAGCTCTGGGGAGATCTCTAAAGGTAGTAAAGGTCACATGAAACAAGACTCTAGAGTGTTTAAGAGTAGCAGGGCAGGCTAAGTCAACTGCCTTTAAAAATACAATGTTAGGCGAGGCGCAGTGGCTCATGCCTGTAATCCCAGCACTTTGGGAAGCCAAGGTGGGTGGACCACGAGGTCAAGAGATCAAGACCATCCTGGCCAACATGGTGAAACCTCGTCTCTACTAAAAATACGAATATTAGCTGGGCGTGGTGGCATGCGCCTGTAGTCCCAGATACTTGGGAGGCTGAGACAGGAGAACTGCTTGAACACGGGAGGTAGAGGTTGCAGTGAGCAGAGATTGCACCACTGCACTCCAGCCTGGTGCCTGGCAACAGAGTGAGACTCTGTCTCAAAACAAGACAAAACAAAACAAAAAAACCCTGTTATAGACCAGATGCTTGGTTCACACCTGTAATTCTAGCACCTTGGGAGGCTTAGGCAGGCAGATCACTTGAAGCCAGGAGTTTGAGACCAGCCTGGCCAACATGGTGAGACTGCCTTCTCTACTAAAAATACAAAAATTAGCTGGGTGTGGTGGTGTACGCCTATAATCCCAGCTACTCAAGGAGGCTGAGGCATGAGAATTGCTTGAGACCAAGAGGTAGAGGTTGCAGTAGGCCAAGGTCGTGCCACTGCACTGCAGCCTGGGCAACAGGAGTGAGAATCTGTCTAAAAACAACAACAACAACAACAACAAAACTATTATAGGAGAGATGAAAAGTCTCAATTTTGGGGGGCTAACCATTCAAATGTCTCTTTGTTCAGTAAGTAAACAAATTACATTTACCATTTCTAAATCAATTTTATTGCCATTACTTCTGGTCAAGATTTATGTAGGGGGGATAAAGTGATTCTCAAAGGTAATTCATTAGCCATAAGTGCTCTCATAATTAAAGAAAGCAGAGACAAAAGCACTGCCTATTGTCTGGGATGATGGGATACATGGTTTTAGTCTAGGAACTGAAAAATACATTTTTACTGCCACGAGATTAGCCAGCCTAAGTACCAAGGTGAAACATGAAAGGGAACAGGTTTGTTGGCAAAGTTCATCTGGGCAAATATGTACATTGAAATAACTTGAAAAATAGTATGTTTGAATTTCATGTATTTAGAAAGAGCCAAGAGTTACTGCTTTTCATAGTTTCAGCAAGAAACCAGATAAATATCAATGTGCAAATGAAACAGAAGTTAGTATGGCAAATTTTATATATCTGGCACAAAACACTTAAAATTATAATAATAGACATGTTGAAGGAAAGGAAGCCTTATATAAATTTGGAAAGCACTGATCAGAAGAAGGACATACAAAGAAAGTATAAGGTTTTTAGGATTACTCATCCTAATGTTTATTATGCTAGTGTCTCAAAGAACTTTATAACTGTAATCCTACTATTATAAATATAGAAACACCAATCACTTTCCTGAACTTAGATGGAGCAAATTCATTCCTGTTTTATTTTAATTAATTAATTAATTTATTTATTTTGAGATGGAGCCTCGCTCTATCACCCAGGCTGGAGTGCCTTGGTGCATACAATCTTGGCTCACTGGAACCTGTGCCTCTCCTGTTCAAGCCATTCTCATGCCTCAGCCCCCAAGTGGCTGGGATTACAGGCATGTGCCACCATGCCTGGCTAATTTTTGTATTTTTAGTAGAGATGGGGTTTTACCATGTTGACCAGGATGGTCTTGAATTTCTGGCCTCAAGGGATCCACCCACCTCGGCCTCCCAAAGTGCTGGGATTACAGGCATTAACCATCGTGCCCAGCTATTTTATTTTTAATGCATTTACACTGTAACTTAGCATGCTCTCTTGTGCATTACAGTTGCCTTTTATGAAGCATTCAGGATCAGACCTGAGTGGGACTGACTATAAGCTCAGACTACAACAGAGCTAGGGAAGACAGTGGATTGGAGCAAAAGAATATGGGAGATAGAAGCTTGGAAAATTTGTTATCAAAGCAATGATATTTTAAGCAAATATAAACTCTGAAGATAAGAATTTAAAATTATATAGGGAGAATTGTCCAGATGTCTGCTATTTACTTGGAAATATATACACAGAAAAGATGTATTGATAGATGATTGAGTAACGGGCAAATGGATAGATATGTGATAAAAACAAGCAAAGTAAAATGTTAATGTAGAATCCAGGTGGTAGGTTGAAACTTCTTTCAAATTGGTTGCATCTTTGAAAAAATTTCAACATAAAAGGTGAAAAGTATGTGGAAACAAGGACATTTAATATATTATGGTATTTTATTGCAAAAATAGCCCCAATTCCCTATTTCTTCACCTCTCTCTCTTGAAATATGTCTGCATAACTCCTCCTATTGTTTATTTCCTTTTTTAAAAACGTCTCAGCTCATCCTGTGATTTGCTTTCACCAACAGAAAAATGACTGTGCCAGTTCTGAGCCTAGATCTCAAGAGACTTATAAACATTCACTCTTTTTTCTGGAACCCTGCCTGTGCTACAAGAACAAGGCCAGCTAGCTAGCTGGAAGAGACCCTATGGAGCCAAGTGGAATCCTTCCATCTCCAGCAGCCACTTCAATCAGGAAGTTGATTGCAGACCCATGAGCAAGCCTAGCCATGATCAGCAAAATCACCCAGCCAACCTGCAGATTTGTGAGAATTAATAAATGGTTGTTGACTTTAAGCCACTAACTTTGGAAGGGGATTGTTACGCCGTATTTTTGTGATATTAGATAACCAATACTGTATTTATAATTTTCAGGAACTCAAGGCATCAAAAAGAAATAATTATGACATTGTATATCCTTTTCAGAAATAGAATATATATATATATATATATATATATGAAAACAGTTCCCCCCAACCCAATTCTAGTTTCTTTTTTCTAGTTCTAATTTTAGGTAGCCACATTTTACATTTGGGATTATTGCCCGAAAGTTATCACTACCATCTGCAAATCATAGCAATTACTGAATTAGTTTCATTGCCTATAATTTGATTTAAAAAGTGTTGTTTTTATTGTATTTCAAATAAATTTGACATCATTCAAACCTTACCTTGTGTGGTCAATAAATGAAGATTTTTATTGCCCAGCCAATATTCACCGTGTTTTTGGACAAAATTTCCAAAGCCATTTTCATAGTCATTCCATCCTCTAAAAAATTTTAAGTGGAAGCTGATTTTAGCAAATTCCATTTGTGGTACCAAGGTGACCCCCATCCACCCCCTGCTACCACCACCTCCAATATTTTCTTGATTAGTTAATTCATTTTCAGTATTACTTAGAGAAAGTGAAATTCTGTCTAATTAATAGACTTCAGAGTATGATCAAAATATTTAACTTATAAATCTCACATTTTCTGCTACAAATAAATTCTTATGTCATAATTAGCACACCTGTTAAAGTTTTCACTGCCATCAGATCGTCTCTGAATTACAGTCCATCCTCCTCCATCGGACATGTCACAATAAACAGAAAACTCTGCTGGGCTCTGGAGAGGTTTGATTTTGTAGAATCCACTAAGCTTATACCCATCATTGAAAACCTCTGAACAATCTGTTTTTAAGACAAGGTAATGTAACATTTATTATGTGTCTTTTTCCCCCTCTAGAGACCCTCCGAATGAGACTACTCAGTATCAATGGAGCTAGATAACACACGGTATAGAAATCAGCATCTTAAAATGGCATCTTGTATATCTTCCAGTGGATATTAGGAAAGTTTTATTTCCTTTGCTAATATTTGTCACCTGAATCTTTGATATAATCATGGGTAAAAAGGAGTGAAACAAGAATCTAGTTTTTTGTTTCTTTCTTCTTCTTCTTTTTTTTTTTTTTTTTTTGCAGAGATGGTCTCACTATATTGCCCAGGCTGGTCTCAAACTCCTGGCCTCAAGGAATCCTATCCTCCCACCACAGACTTCCAAAGTGTGGGATTACAGGTGTGAGCTACCACACCTGGCCTAGTTTCTAATTTCTGAGTTTTGTAGAAAGCAATGTTAAAAAGCAAGTTATGTGTAGTGTGCTAATAACAGTATATTTAGATGGAACTTATAGTTTTATCAGACAGAATAGTAGAACTTGTCTCATCCATGAAGCTAATAATGAAAGCAGAAATGTAACACCAAACAACTAAGTTAATACAGGTGATCTTTACCTAGAGCATGATAAATTATTCTGGACATCTGGAAACGAATCCAAAATAGTAATCTTGTCAAACTCTTATAACTTCTTAGCCTTATCCAATTTTTTACTAATCCACTGAAGTTTCTAAAAGTCCACACATTCTGAGATGTTTTTGCTAAAAACTGCAAGCTTCTGCTATTCTTTTCATTGTTTAATTATATTTTGCTGTGGCATTTCTTTGAACCCTCAAGCAAACATAGCTACCCCTTTGTCACCAAAGAGTGATATCTGTTTCTTTTTTTTTTTGCCTTTGAGACAGAGTCTTCCTCTGTGGCCCAGGCTGGAGTGCAATGGTGTGATCTCTGTTCACTACAAACTCCACCTCCCAGGTTGAAGCAATTCTCCTGCCTCAGCCTCCTGAATATCAGGGATTGCAGGCATGAGCCTCCACACCCTGCTAATTTTTTTTGTATTTTTAGTAGAGACAGGATTTTACAACATTGGCCAGGCTTGTCTCAAACTGCTGAGGTCAGGCAATCCACCCACTACGGCCTCCCAAAGTAGCAGAATTACAGGGAGCCACCATATCCGGTCTAAAGGTGATACCTGTTTTTTAACCCACTTGAGGGTAATATAAATTAATATCCATTGGGTCTCATCTAGGTTGATCTGCACAGACTTAGATAATGTGGCAAACAGGGACTTCTCTATTGCTTAGATGCATAGCAAGCTATGTTTTAGGATGACTGAAGTAGTGGCCACTAGGAACAGATAGTCTCAAGAAGAGTCATCTACAAACATGTGAATAAAAATACTATAATGTCATCAAATTTCACTTTTACCCTTACCACTTCGCTAGTTTCCTTTAAAAAATTTTTTTTTCTGATTGGATAATTCCATTCTTGTAGCATATTTTAAAGTTCTTTTCAGGCTCATTGTTTTGAAATTAAATTGCCAAATTAACAACTCTCTTGTTTTGTTACAGATAAAATATGTTGAAAGTTAAGTAGGTTGAATAGGTCATAGAAATCAGACAAGAAAAGAAAAGAAAGAACCTTAGTCATTTTATTAAGCCTTCACATGGTCGGGACCAATCATTTACTAATGCTTTGCTGAGATGTTTATCTTTGTAATGATTTAGGCTTTATTTATATATTTATTTTCAAGATTCAGAAGCACAAGTGTTCAAATACACACTAAATTTTAAAAAGGGTCCTGTTTTGGCAATTAAACAAGAAGCAAAACAACAAGAAAATGATTCCCTAAAATTAGATCAATGTTGTTTTAAAGTTTACATCTTGTAGTCAAGTATATTGTACAACACTTTTATTAAAGTAAGCAGATTTTAGCCCTATTAGGAAAGAAGCTGTTTGCTTACATTTAATTTCCTACCAAAGAGCTGAACACGAAAGACTCACAAGGTTCAAACTACTTTCCAGGCAACTATGGAAGTGATTAGCTATAACATTTGCCTCTGGAAAACTTAGTGAATATAGAGGTTTCAGCCAACATTTTCTACTTGTTATTATTTTATGACAAGTGTGAGTTTGTTATTTTTTTGGTCTTGTTTTTAAAATTTTCCTTCTCCCCAGAAGAAAATGCCAAACTCAACTTAAGAAAAGCTTTCAACTGAGAAAAAAAAAAAACAAAAAACAGAAACACAACAACAAAACCCCCAACAAATAAATAAATATTAAAAAAAAAAAAAATCACCAGTGGTTCAACTTGCTTATAGCAAACAAGTAAAGAAGTCTGCTTTGGGCATCGAGACTTAAACCATAACAGCAGAAAGTTTGAACAATGTAGAATTCAAAATATAAATTTGATATTTAAAATGATAATTTTCAAAACATTCTGATCCACTCACCCCTGGAGAATAAGTAGAAGAAAAGTAGGGTTAAAGAGGTTTGTATTCATGGGAGTTTTGTTTAAAAAACAAAAGAAAGAAGGCTGGGCATGGTGGCTCACGCCTGTAATCCCAGCACTTTGGGAGGCCAAGGCGGGCGGATCATCTGAGATCAGGAGTTTGAGACCATCCTGGCCAACATGGTGAAACCCCGTCCCTTAAAAAAAAAAAGAAAGGGCCGGGCGCGGTGGCTCAAGCCTGTAATCCCAGCACTTTGGGAGGCCGAGGCGGGTGGATCACGAGGTCAAGAGATCGAGACCATCCTGGTCAACACGGTGAAACCCCGTCTCTACTAAAAATACAAAAACGTTAGCTGGGCATGGTGGCGCGTGCCTGTAATCCCAGCTACTCAGGAGGTTGAGGCAGGAGAATTGCCTGAACCCTGGAGGTGGAGGTTGCGGTGAGCCGAGATCGCGCCATTGCACTCCAGCCTGGGTAACAAGAGCGAAACTCCGTCTCAAAAAAAAAAAAAAAAAAAAAAAAGAAAGAAAGAAAGAAAGAAAGAAAAATATTTACATAATACTAGAGTGAGGCCAAGGCATCCCGCCTTCTGTTTTGACAAACACTGTACTAAACTGGGTGATGTGCCTTCTTTCTCCGAATGTTTAAGCTCATAAAGCGACATGACAGCTTGCCAAATGTGCTTTGTCCTGTTGTCCCCAGAGGGTGGCTGAGGCTCAAAGCTGAGAACCAAAGGCACAGAGCACCCCACATTCTAAACACAAAAAGAGGTCAGCAACAAAGGTCAGATTCCATTCCCCAGAGCATGCTGGGATATGCCAAAACTGGCCCTGCTACCGCCATCCTCACCCCCAGGCAACAAAAAGAAAAAAAATAAAACGATAAAGGAAGGTGGGTACTTAGCAGGTGTATGTACTTTCTGGGGTACATGTGATATTTGAATATAGGCATGCAGTGCATAATAACCACATCATGGAAAATGAGGTGTCCATCCCCTCAAGCATTTATCCTTTGTGTTATAAGCAATTCAATTACACTCTTTTTGTTATTTTTTTTAATGTGCAATTAAATTAATATTGAGAGAATGCTATATTCTTGTAGGGTAGAGTGAGTGGGCTCTCTACCTTGAAAACAAAATATAATATTGTCCACAGATAGCTGACATTCACTGAGTATTTCTTTTGCTCTGCTATGTTAAAGATATTAACTCATTTAATTTAATTTAATTAATTCATTTATTTGAGACAGGGTCTCACTCTCTTACCCAGGCTGTAGTGCAGTGGCACAATCATAGGTCACTGCAGCCCCAAACTCCTGCAATCCTGCCTCAGCCTCCTGACTAGCTGGGCCTGCAGGCATGCACCACCAAGCCTGAAATTTTTTTTTTTTTTTTTTTTTTTGCAGTGTTAGGGTCTCACTGTGTTGCCCAGGCTGTTCTTGAACTCTTGGCCTCAAATGTTCATCTCACCTTGGCCTCCCAAAGTTCGAGGATTACAGGCATAATTCATGGCACCTGGCCAAAATATATTCACTAATTTTAATATATTTTAATCCTTACAACAAATACACAGCATTCTTGTCATTCCCATTCTCCAGATGGGGAATATAAGACACATAGAGGTTATGTAATTTGCCCAAAGGCCACAGCCAGCAAGAAGGGCAGCTGGACTTTGAAATCAAGCTTCAGAGTCAATACCTTAGGCCACTTGGTATCCACCTCAAGACGCTCACATACAGATTGGGGGCTCCTGCAGAAGGGGAGATGGTGGAACCAGTGGACTTGCCGACTAAACAGCAATGGTGATACCAGATTGTTGTGACTACAACCAGTTAATGTGAATTTGATACAGTAACCTTTTAATTCATAATTCACTAGCACCCAAATGCTTAAAAAAAGAGACAGCTTAATAATATGCTCTGTAAAATCATGTGATTTGTGAATTGTTTGCACAAATTACTAGGTTGTATGTAATTGGGTGTTTTCTACCATCAGATAAATTAGAATTCAGAAAATAATTTAATAACAAAAAAGTAACTTGTAAACAAAAACAAAAAATTTGTATCACTACAGATTATATATATGAATATTTAATTTTTTTAAATTTAAGGATGCCAAAAACATAAACTTTGATGTGAGCAAGTTCTTATATATTTTATACAATATTATATATATACATATTATACTATATTTTACTGGAATGGAATTTTTATGTTATATATTTTATTTATTATTTGTTCTTAGTAACCTCTCTAGTACTATTTGCCTATATGCTAAAAAATAAAGAACAATTGAACTGTACTTATATTTTATATTTTATTCCCCCTTTTTCTCCTTCACGATTGTACTTAACACACAAAGAATATTAAGTGTTAATCTAATGAATTCGGATTTTTTTGGCCTATCATCTGTCTTATTATTATAACAGTCTTACATTTATAGTAATCATGATATAATGTTTTTTCTGAACCATCTCTGTATGACTCTTCTAACTCCTGCTTGTACAGTTAATCCTGCTCTGAACTTGGCATTGGAATTTCCAAGTAACTGATTTCTTGCCTTATTCCTTGGTGACCCTTTGCTTTCCAAAGTCTGCTCCCCAGCAGTGTCAACACCAGGATTGGATTTTTAGCTCTTGTTATGATTTGGATGTGTGTCCTCACCAAATCTGATGTGGAATTGTAATTCCCAGTGTTGGCGGCGGGGCCTGGTGGTAGGTGATTGGCTCATGGGAGTGGAGTTCTCATGAACAGTTTAGCACCATCCCCCTCGGTACCGTACAGTGAGTGAGCTCTCATGAGACCTGGTTGTTTAAAAGAGTGTCATGCTTCTGTCTCTTCCTCCTGCTCTCACCATGTGAGATGTGCCTGCTCCTGCTTTGTCTTCTGCTGTGATTTTAAGTTCCCTGAGGCCTCCCCAGAAACAGACGCTGCTACGCTTCCTTTACAGCCCACAGAACCATGAGCCAATTAAACCTCTTCTCTTTATAAATGACCCAACCTCAGTTATTTCATTATAGCAGTGTGAGAACGGACTTATACAGTACTTAAGCCTCAGTCTTCCCATGACTGGTTGTAGAGGCCTGGGAACAAGCATCTGATTTGCTGCCTCCTGCCATAATTGACCCTTGAGTCTGCGTCAATAACCTGCTTAGAATGTGTTTGAATAGACACTACAAGTCTTGGGCTTGGCTTGAAATTAGGAATAATGGTGCTCCGCTTGCATCTACCAGCTCCTCGCCCTTGTGATCCGTTTTGTACATACTTTCGGGATCACTTATCTGTATGCTCGTCTCTTGAATGATAGTCCGTTTTGCTTCCCAAGCCTGTTTTTGCCTGAACTGTCCCTGGTTCCTCTTTGCTTCAGAGGCACAGGCCATCTTCATGCTATAGCCATCCCCACTACTGCAGACCAGTGGCTCTAGCCTCTCTCTGATCTCAAAGGGCCAGAGGAAGGCCAGTTGGATCAAGATGCTGGCTAACAGAGAAGCAGGAGCCCAGGGTGAGGAGTCTGAGCAGAGGGAAATAAGGATCTTGGTAGAGAAAAAGGGAGCATTTTAAGAGTCACATGCGCTGCCATCTGAGCTAGCCAGGTGCCCTGAAGCATTTTATTGAAGCATAGGCTCTAAGGTTCTCACAGCTCCTATATTCTACACTTGTAGATTTAGAAGCACAAAATACAGATGTTTCTATTCCCATAAGACTGGCATCTCTTTGAACTCTACAGTCTTTCAATTCTAATAAAATATTTTTCCCAATTTATATTTACTTATCTTGCTATTCCTCTCCCTATGAACTACCTTCCTTTCATTCATGAATATGAGGATCTACTGTGTTCTAGCGGCTCTAATAGTCAATAAAGAGGTACATTAAATATCGTCTTAGACCTTACAAAGTGCCCAGTTAATGGACCGCAATAGACTCATAAACAGAAATTACAATGTATCATCATTTGCTAGAGCAGACATATGGACAAAGTGCTCTAGCTAGCATCTTTTTGGTTCTGACAATCATTGTTTGTTTACTCTAAAAGATGCCTTTTACTTCTGGAGGAATTCAAATGAACAGTTTTCTGTAGAGAGTAATGATACGTGCTGCAATTAGTATAATACGTTGCCAATTTAAAATCATTTAGTTTCTGGGGAGAAATACTGACCTCATCAAAAGGAACATTATGAAACCATAAAATATACATATAAAAAACTACTCTTTTATTTTGCTAAGTAATTCTGGTTCTTTTTCCTTTTTCTGCTCCTTTATTTTTTACCTTATTTGCCACCCTGATGCCCATTAGGGTTTTGGAAGGGAAACTGTATACATGTAGCAAGGAAAGATACACAAATAAACACAAAGCTCAAATGCAAACATTCCCAATTGTAATCTGCCATGTGTACACCAATTTGTTTTTTTTTTTTTTTAGACGGAGTCTCGCTCTGTCGCCCAAGCTGGAGGGCAGTGGTCTGATCTACGGTCACTACAACCTCTGTTCAAGTGATTCTCCTGCCTCAGCCTCCCAAGTAGCTGGGACTACAGACACCTGCTACCATCCCCAGCTAATTTTTGTATTTTTAGTGGAGATGGGGTTTCACCATATTGGCCAGGCTGGTCTCAATCTCCCGAACTTGTGATCCGCCCACCTCAGTCTCCCAAAGTGTTGGGATTACAGGTGTGAGCCACCGCATCTGGCTGCGTACACCAGTATTTGAACAATCTATTGTCCTGATTTCTAACTAAATGACATAAATTCTCAGATATTTAGCATTCACATTAAATGTCCCTGCAGAGATGGAAAAACATAAAGCGTGAAAGAAGACATTTAAAATTGATATAATGCTTCCTGTTGCTTCCTACTAAAACAGAAAAAGCTCTTTAACAAAACCCGAAGTGAACAAATAACTAGCACCATCATTGCACATGGGTGTGTAATGTAAGTGATTGAAACACTTAAGTCCATTCTGACCTGCATACTGCCTCTTGCCTCCAGTGTGAATGACATTACTCTCCTCTCCTTTATCCAGCAGCTGGACTTCCTTCTCCTGCAAAAGATGCGTGATCTTGACCTGCTGCTGTTTGACCCGGGTCTCGAGTAGGCGCACCTGGGCTCTGAGCCGCGCCTGCTCTTGGGCACACTCCTCGCGCGCCTGCAAAACAGGTGAGATGAGATGAGTCTGCATTTCCTTTTCATGGAAAACAAGTGCTTTTTAAATATTTGGATAGATCAGTGATTACATTTTGTCTCCCATTCCCATTTCAGAATATTATTCCAACCAGAAAGTGGTTGAACAGTTCTGCTACTACCTGCTATTTGAAGAACTGGAAATTATGGCTATGCTAAAACTTCTGGACTCAAAGGATCAAATAATAGAAAATAATCAGAATCACTGTGCTAAGAACTTTATAGTTGTGTCATTCAATCCTCGTAACATTTCCATGCGGTTCCATGTGGTCGGAACAGGCTCAGTCCTGAATGCCTGGTGGGTAAGGGGAGGTGGGATTCAAATTCAATTCAAGGACTGTGCTCTCAATCTCTACATGATATTGTTTATGTGTTTCCTAAATAGCAATGTGCTTTACAGAAGTTAATTGTATGATTGTCATGTAAATCACCATAACAAATGAGATTTTCAAATGGTTCTCTGGTATAAATACATGCATATATATATAATCTTATGACATATGGCACCTTTATAAGGGATGGTAGTTTAGGACCTCATATCCTTGTGTATCTCACTCATTTTGCTATTGCTAGAAATTCTCCCGGAGTCCTTTTAACTTTTGTTTATTTGTTATTTTTCTCTCAGCTACTTCAAAAAGGGACAGGAGGAGCCTGAATCTATTATTTGCCTTTTAAGGATGCATGTGAAAGAGTTTGCTTTTGTTGCCCAGGCTGGAGTGCAGTGACATGATCTCAGCTCACTGCAACCTCTGCCTCTGGGGTTCAAGCAATTCTCCTGCCTCAGCCTCCCAAGTAGCTGAGACTATAGGCACCTGCCACCATGCCTGGTTAATTTTTGGATTTTTAGTAGAGACGGGGTTTCACCATATTGACCAGGCTGGTCTTGATCTCCTGACCTTGTGATCCACCTGCCTCAGCCTCCCAAAATGCTAGGATTACAGGCATAATGTATATATTTTGAGATGGAGTCTCGCTCTGTCTCCCAGGCTGGAGTGCAGTGGTACAATCTTGACTCACTGCAACCTCTGCTTCCCAGGTTCAAGCAATTTTCCTGCCTCAGCCTCCTGAGTAGCTGGGACTACAGGTGTGTGCCACCATGCCTGGCTAATTTTTGTATTTTTAGTAGAGATAAGGTTTCACCATGTTGTCCAGGCTGGTCTTGAACTCCTGACCTCCAGTGATCTGCCCACCTCGGCCTCCCAAAGTGCTAGGATTATAGACATGAGCCACCATGCCGGTGCTTAAAATATAATTTAATGCATATAATCTGATGACATATGGCACTTTTGTAAGGGATACTAGTCTAGGACCTTATATCTCTGTGTATCTCACTCATTTCTCTGTTGCTGACAATTCTCCTGGAGTCCTTTTAACTTTTGTTTATTTGTTATTTTTCCCTGAGCTACTTCAAAAAGGGACAGGAGCAGCCTGAATCTGTTACTTGCCTTTTAAGGATGCATGTAAATGAGTTTACCAGTTCCTGTCTAATGCAGCATCTGACTGAGAAGAGCTCTCTGAAGATAAAGCAAATCTAATAGGTGAATTGGAAGGGAAAGATACAGAGGTGGGTCTTCTAGGAAAAGTTACTGAGGCCAAGAAGCTACAATCAAGGCTCTTGAATACTCAATTCAGGGAGAACCACTATGGATAATGGAAAGAGGGCTTAAGAACAATTTTGGCCATTTTCCCATTTTTACCTTAACATCTCTATTTGCAGCTCATGTCATGATCTCATGTGACAAATATGAATGGTTACTTCTAAGAAATTATGAATTTTAAAATGTAATTGGGCCAGGTATGGTGGCTCATGCCTGTAATCCCAGCACTTTTAGAGGCCAAGATGGGAGGATTACTTGCGTTCAGGAGTTTAAGACTAGCCTGGGCAACATGGTGAAAGCCCATCTCTACCAAACATAAAAAAAAAAAAAAAAAAAAAAAAAAGTTAGCCAGGAAAGGTGGTGAGCATCTGTGGTCCCAGCTACTCTGGAGGCTAAGGTGGGCAGACGGCTTGAGCTTGGAAGGCAGAAGTTGTAGTGAGCTGAGATTTGGCCACTGCACTCCAGTGACAGGGTGAGACTCCCTCTTTAAAAAAATGGAATCGGCTTACACTACCATTATACAGATTATTTCCTGAAAACAGTCATTCAATTATAGTCAAATATATTTTCCAATTTATGTCTGCATAACTTCCTGTTCCTATCTTTATGCACTACCTTGCATCATTCCATTGATATGAGGACCTTCTGAGTTCCAGGGACCCTGCTAGGCAGTCAGAACAGCACACTTAGATATCCTAATTTGGGCAAAGGGAAGAGGTACACTGCCTCCCTACAAAGGGCTATAAATTCTCTCTATAAATTTCACAAAGATAAAAATCTGGCCTCAAAACTGAAGGTCATCTACAATGGAGAAGTGATTGTAGTCTCTCCTCCCTCCCACCTCTAGGTTCAAATCATAGAACCTCTCCCAGCCATTTTTCTAGGATGATTCCTTCCTTCTCTCCCTGCCTCCCTGCCTCCCTCCCTCCCTCCCTCCCTCCCTCCCTCCCTTCCTTCCTTCCTTCCTTCCTTCCTTCCCTCACAGAGTCTTGCTCTGTGACCCAGGATGGAGTGCAGTGGTGCAATCTCAGCTCACTGAAACCTCTGCCTCTCTGGTTCAAGTGATTCTTGTACTTCAGCCTCCCAAATAGCTGGGACTATACAGGCTGCATGCCACAACACCTGGGATTTTTAGTAGAGACAGGGTTTCACCATGTTGCCCATGCTGGTCTTGAACTCCTGGCCTCAAGCGATGCAACCACCTTGCCCCCCACAAAGTGCTTGGATTACAGGCATGAGCCACTGCACCTGGCCTCTCTAGGATGATTTCTTATTTGCTCTTGTTGCTCTCTCCCTATCACCCAGATTTATCCTCTCTGAGAGAGTTATTTGCTTAGCACCTTGACTCACATAGGCTAAAAAATGAACAGCAAGAACATTTTACGGTGTCTGAGTCCTATGCTGTTTTACAATAGCAGGGGATCAGTTGTGATATTGTTAAATAGAGTATACTATGCAATTTTAAAACAACTGAAGAGATCACAAGTATGCCCAATCTTTATGAGGCTGCTTATACATATCCAGTAAGCTTATTTAAAACCTAGGAGTTTTCTTTCTCCAAGAACTGTGAATGAATCAGTATTTTGCCTTTTTTATTCACCAATGGAGGACAACACAAGTTCAGTGTAATTACTTTCTAATAATCTGGCTAGTTTTACACTTTTCAATATTGAAAAACCCAAGGTCAATTTTAATTACTAAGGACAGTTTCAGATTTCAATATTGTATTCCAACCAAATAACTCCAGTGAATTCTTAAAAAATTCTTATTTATTGTGAAAACTTTTTATTTAAAAAAATGTAAAGCACATTAAAGTGCTGCTTTCCTATCTGTTGGGTGTTTCTACCAGCCTCTTTCCTTCTCCCCTTTAGTTATTTCAATGACAAGTCACTATAGGTTTAATGCAAGATGAAAGAAAATTCAGGTAAAGCAGGCATTATAAATATAATAGTTTTCACGATAAGCTTACCCAGCTTTCCTTGCCCATTATCAGAGCAGTGGCGACAAGGATGAAACTGAACATCTTTGCCATGTTCCCCCTTGAAAAAACTGCAAGAACAAAAAGAATTTCAAAAATGTCTCAACATTGAATTTTTCACGAGACCAGAGTTCAGACTTAAGTAGGTTCAGGAAGTCGGATGTAGCTGCAGGCCAACCCTAGTCTTAGAGTCGCTGAGGAAATTCTCCCAGACTTTCCCAGCCTCTCACCGCACAGAATGACATTCAGTGTTAACCAGAATTGAACCTGTTCCATCACTTAAACAGAGGAAAGACTCCGGTTCTTTTCGAGGTTCCAATGTGCTGTTTGTGTAATGCTGTGGAAAGGCACAGAAGCATTTTAATCAGTTACCTAATGTTACACAACAAGGAAGTGACTCAGTCAAAATATGGACACAGGTCTCTCTGCTTACAGAGCCTGAGTCTTTTTCTCCCTGTGTTGCACAGGCTGGTCTCAAACTCCTGGGCTCAAGCGATTCTCCTGCCTTGGCCTCTCAAAGTGCTGGGATTACAGGTGTGAGCCACTGCCTAGAATAAGATTCTTGAAAGCAAAGATCACACCTTGCCAACTTTGGTGTCCTTAGTATTTAACTCATGTGGTGACCCCAATAACTGTTGTTGCCTCTGCAGAATCAGGAAGTAAGATCCTTCTCAGAGTGGAAAATGTGATTTCCTTGCTTTGAACTGCAGTCTGTTTATACTGACACACTTTCCTCTTTTATCTTTTATGGGAAAACAAAGGGCTAAGTGTAGTTTTGAAGGTAAGAGTTAAGAAGGAGTTGGGGACTTTTGGTTGAACTGAACACATGAATTTAGTGTTTTCCTTCTCACAAAGCCCACTAGAAAATGAGTAAAAAGTGTAAAAGACGCAAACTGAGAAAGTCAAAGAGAAAGGGAAAGAACAGCAAGCATGCAAGGTCAGCATGTTGGTGGGTGACAAAAAGCATGTGAAGTCCTGGTGCAGTGGCTCACACCTGTAATCCCAGCACTTTGGGAGGTTGAGGCGGGCAGATCACTTGAGGTCAGGAGCTGGAGACCAGCCTGGCCAACATGGCGAAACCCCATCTCTACCAAAAATACAAAAATTATCTAGGTATGGTATGGTGGCTGGTGCCTGTAATCCCAGCTACGTTGGAGGCTGAGGCAGGAGAAATGCTTGAACCCAGGAGTGAAGGTTGCAGTGAGCCAAGATCACACCATTGCATTCCAGCCTGGGTGACAGAGTGAGGCCCTATCTAGAAGGAAAATAAATGAGAGGGAAGGAAGGGGAGGGGAGGGGAAGGAAGGGGAGGGAAGGGGAGGGAAGGGAAGGGGAACCTAGAGATGGAAGGTACAGGTAAATGCATTGACAGTCAGATCCTCACCTAAACCCTAGGCAGCCAGGGGAATGCTGCTTCTCCTACTCTTTCAGTCTATGGAAGATTTACTTTCTTTTAAGATTGCTGGGAGATGCTCCAGGTGGCATGACAGCTGAAGCGCGGGAGGGCAGAAGAGAGACACTGTTCGAAAAGGGCGAGGCTTTCCCAGGCTACTCTTGCAGCCAGGCAGATGGCTCTGCACTCTCCCTGCCACTGTCCAGGCCAGAGAACATGGGATTCCTCACTGGGGGAACGCAGAGCTTCACAGAAAAGGTCTTCAGAGACTGATACTGGGGATTCTCCATCAAAGGAGCCTTTTCCTTGACTGATCACTCTCCAAAGAAGCCCACCGGTTGGCAAGCCTCCTTCGTGCATTCGGGAGAGGTATAAAAGACACAGGCACATTCATTTGCTTATTTTTTTCAATGTAAGTCTTCTTTCTGAAGAGAGGCATATTTTACATTTCATTCTCTGTCCACAGTCTAAAGAGAAACACCAAATTTCTGTATTACAACACTGGACAGAAATTCACATAATAGCAATTAGTCCTGATTTAACTCTTCCTCCTATCACTGTGAACAAAGTAACCAAGGTGGGCCGGGTGAGGTGGCTCACGCCTGTAATCACAGCACTTTGGGAGGCTCAGGCAGGTGGATTATCTGAAGTCAGGAGGTGATACCCCATCTCTACTAAAAAAAAAAAAAAAATACGGCTCTCTGCTCCTCCTGTTTGACAGACTGCCACGTCTGTCTCTCACCGCCAGCCGCATCCCTGAGACACCATGGGGAAGGTGAAGTTCGGAGTCAACGTTTCTGGTCGTATTGGGCACCTGGTTACCAGGGCTGCTTTTAACTCTGGTAAAGTGGATACTGTCGCCATCAATGACCCCTTCATTGACCTCAAATACATGGTCTACATGTTCCAGTATGATTCCACCCATGGCAAATTCCATGGCACCGTCAAGCCTGAGAACAGGAAACTTGTCATCAATGGAAATCCCATCACCATCTTCCAGGAGCGAGATCCCTCCAAAATCAAGTGGGGCAACACTGGTGCTGAGCACGTGGTGGAGTCCACTGGCATCTTCACCACCATGGAGAAGGCTGGGGCTCACTAGCAGGGGGGAACCAAAAGGGTCATCACCTCTGCCCCATCTGCTGATGCCCCCATGTTCATGATGGGCATGAACCATGAGAAGTATGACCACAGCCTCAAGATCATCAGCAATGCCTCTTGCACCACCAATTGCTTAGTGCCCCTAGCCAAGGTTATCAGTGACAACTTTCGTTATCGTGGAAGGACTCATGACCACCATCTACGCCATTACTGCCACCCAGAAGACTGTGGATGGCCCCTCCAGGAAACTGTGGCATGACGGCTGCGGGGCTCTCCAGATCATCCCTGCCTCTACTGGCACTACCAAGACCATGGGCAAGGTCATCCCTGAGCTGAACGGGAAGCTCACTGGCATGGCCTTCTGTGTCCCCACTGTCAGTGTGTCAGTGGTGGACCTGACCTGCCGTCTGGAAAAAACTGCCAGATATGACGACATCAAGAAGATGGTGAAGCAAGCGTCAAAAGGCCCCCTCAAGGGCATCCTGGGCTACACCTAGCACCAGGTGGTGTCCTCCGACTTCAACAGTGACACCCACTCTTCCACATTCGATGCTGGGGCTGGCATTGCCCTCAACGACTACTTTGTCAAGCTCATTTCCTGGTATGACAATGAATCTGGCTACAGCAACAGGGTGGTGGACCTCATGTCCTACATGGCTTCTAAGGAGTAAGACCCCTGGACCACCAGCCCCAGTGAGAGCAGGAGAGGAAGACAGACCCTCACTGCTGGGAGTCCCTGCCACACTGAGTCCTCCACCACACTGAATTGCCCCTCCTCACAGTTTCCATGCAAACCCCTTGAAGAGGGAGGGGCCTGGGGAGCTCCACCTTGTCATGTACCATCAATAAAGTCCCCTGTGCTCAGCCAAAAAAAAAAAAAAAAAAAAACCCAAACAAACAAAAATTAGCCGGGCATGCTAATGCATGCCTGTAATCACAGTTACTTGGGGGACTGAGGCAGGAGAATTGCTTGAATCCAAGAGGCAGAGGTTTGAGGGAGCCAAGATTGCGCCACTGCACTCCAGGCTGGGCAACAGAATGAGGCTGCCTAAAATTAAATGAATGAACGAATAAATAAATAAATAAATAAATAATCAAGATGTATAGAAAGAGATGAAGTGCTGAGTAAATCACACACCTAAATGAGATAAAACACAAGAATATCTACAATACTCATTACAGAAAAGCCCTAATAAGTATCTCTAGATCCAGCTTGGCACAGTGGCTCATGCCTGTAATCCCAGCACTTTGGGAGACCTAGGCAGGTGGGTCATCTGAAGTCAGGAGTTCAAGACCAGCCTGGCCAACATGGTAAAATTCCATCTCTGCTAAAACCACAAAGAATTAGCTGGTGGCAGGCACCTGTAATCCCCGCTACTTGGGAGGCTGAAGCAAGAAAATCGCTTGAACCCGGGAGGCGTAGGTTGCAGTAAGCCGAGATTGCGCCACTGCACTCCAGCCAGGGAGACAGTGTGACACTCTGTCTCAAAAAAAAAAAAAAAAAAGTATCTCTAGACCCATTTTTCCAGTAAAGTTATCCTTTTAAACATACGATATAATTTGTAGCAACAATTTATAAGAACTCTGTCATTTCACTCTATTTATTATCTTAGTAAATATTTTTCTTTAAAATTTTTCTTTAAAATTCAATCATATATTGAGTATGTACCTACATTAGGCCCAGTGATAGAAATGGTAGATATTTTTATATGTAACTTATTAAATATATTCAATTATATTAAAATATTTGCTTATATTGAAAATAGAGAAAATTAACTTTGTGACATTTAAAACGTTTACCAATGTGAAAAAGAGACGCCCTCTGTGTATTTTTATAAAAGGTAAAATGGGGTGAGAATAGAATTGCAGAGGAACAGAAGTAATGAACAAATCAGAAGAAAAGATGATTAGCTTTGCTATCAATTAATATTTGCTAATTAATATAATAAGCTTGGAATTATTTAAGGAACACTTTTCTAGGTCACCTTTATTATTTTCATGAAAGATAAAAATCATTTTCTTTTAGATACCAACACCGACTGCACTAAAGAGACTCATTTACAATGTAATAGTGTCCTAAACCTTGTATTCACAGATGTCAAGATTACGTCTACAAATTAAGAAAATTTCAAGTTGAAATGAATACTCTAAACCAAAGACATCTGGTGTTATCAGCAAACCCATCTTCATTCTGATCCCGGGGGTAGTTTCATATTTTCTTTTTTTCTGGGAGTTTTTAGGAACACCCCTCATTCATTGTGGCTGAATTTTTTCAACATTGAATAATACAAAGGATTATATCTGTTACAAATCAGTAGTCAATAATTTTATCGAGAAGTAAACACTATCCCTTTAAACTGAACTACAGGAGGAAGACATATTTGTAAAGAAGGCTTAGAAAAAAAATAACAATAAACTAGGATGAGATTATTTCAAGCATATATTTTCTATTTTTAAGGAAAGTTTCAAAAATTGAATGGATTCTAGTCTTCTAATCCCTGTCACCAGAATATTACTGACCTACATATAGCATGCTTTAGTATCTTTTCTTCACAATAAGAGAATAATATTTTAATAATGACACAGAATAATTGCTAAATGGGCTTGTTGGGACAATTACTCTACTCCCATAAAGATGCCAAGCAGCCTGCTTAGCCTGGGGCATTATATAAAAATGGATTAGCTGAACACGTGTGGTGACTCATGCCTGTAATCCCAGCACTTTTGGAGGCCGAGGCGGGTGGATCGCCTCAGGATATCAAGATTATCTTGGCTAATATGGTGAAACCCCGTCTCTGCTAAATATACAAAAATTAGTTGGGTGTGGTGGCCTGCGCCCCTGGTCCCAAGCTACTCAGGAGGCTGAGGCGGGAGAATCACCTGAACCCAGGAGGCCGAGGTTGCTGTGAGCCAAGATCGCACCACTGCACTCCAGCCTGGAAGACAGTGCAAGATTCCATCTCAAAAAAAAAAAAAAAAAAAAAAAAAAAAAAAAAAAATTGGGTTAGCCATTCAGGTAGAATGTACCTTTGCAAGGCTGCAATATTACCTTCAAGGGCCCATCAAGAGGAGAAGGGCTACTTCCCTGAGTCTAACACGTGGACTGGAAAAATAAGGCATACTCATCTGAAACCATACTGTGTTTGTGTTTGGACATCACTGAACACTCCGCCAAACTTTGGCTGGGCACGGAGACTCATGCCTGTAATCTCAGCATTTTGGGAGGACAACGTGGGAGGAGCACCTGATGTCAGGAGTTTAAGACCAGCCTGGTCAACATGGTGAAACCCCGTCGCTACTAAAAATACAAAAATTAGCCAGTGTGGTGGTGCAAGCCTGTAATCCCAGCTACTCGGGAGGCTGAAGCATGACAATCGCTTGACCCTGGGAAGCAGAGGTTGCAGTGAGCTGAGATTGTGTCACTGCCTTCCAGCCTGGGTGACAGAGCGAGACTCCGTCTCAACCAGCAACAACAATAACATGCCAAAACACTACCAAAATTTAATTGGCCATTTTATTTTATTTCATTAGTCTCACAATGAAAATAAGGCCGGGCGCGGTGGCTCAAGCCTGTAATCCCAGTACTTTGGGAGGCCGAGGCGGGTGGATCACGAGGTCAAGAGATCGAGACCATCCTGGTCAACATGGTGAAACCCCATCTCTACTAAAAATATGAAAAATTAGCTGGGCATGGTGGTGCGTGCCTGTAATCCCAGCGACTCAGGAAGCTGAGGCAGGAGAATTGCCTGAACCCAGGAGGCAGAGGTTGTGGTGAGTCGAGATCGCGCCATTGCACTCCAACCTGGGTAACATGAGTGAAACTCCGCCTCAAAAAAAAAAAAAAGTAAGCAAGCACGGGGATGCTTATGATTTGCCCAAGACCATGCAACCTCTGGATATATATCCCCCAGATCACCTGAACCTCTTTCCTTTATGCCTAGTTAAACCTTTCTTACCGTATTAGGTTGAACTATAAGAAATAGCAGATGTTTGAACATTTCTGACTTAGAAAAATGGCAATTTTATTGCTTTAAATTAATGCATATCAGTTAGATATAGGAAGAATACACTTGAAATCATTATAACCATTTATACTAAAATGAATGCCAAAAAAAAGGTTAAAAATATACTGTTTGTGGCTTACTTGATAAGAGAGAGCAAATTGGCAACGACCTGTTTTTATATCAATGCTGCCTCCCATGTTAATACATTAACGCGTGCCACTTAAAATAGGTTTAAGAAATTGCTAACACATCATCAACACATGGAATGTCATGGTTTTACCATCAGCTAATCTTCAGGATGCCTTTAGGAGAAATTACATTTACTTTTTACTAAAGGAAGCTAAAATAGTGAAGCAAAATAACTTTCCTAAGGAACGACCTCTACTTTCAAAATTTATACAACATCTAATCACTTCTCACCACCTCTATTGCTACTGTCTGGCCCAAGCTACCATTAGAAGATTCCGATGTTGCTGGGCATGGTGGCTCAAACCTGTAATCCCAGCACTTTGGGTGGATCACTTGAGGTCAGGAGTTTGAGACCAGCCTGACAAGCATGGAGAAACCCCATCTCTACTAAAAACACAAAATTAGTCGGGTGTGGTGGCGAATGCCTGTAATCCCAGCTACTCGGGAGGCTGAGGCAGGAGACTCGCTTGAACCTGGGAGGCAGACGTTGTGGTGAGCTGAGATTGCACCATTCCCTCCAGCCTGGGCAACAAGAGCAAATCTCGTCTGAAAAAAACCCCTCCCCCCCAAGAAAAAAAAACAAAAAAGAAAGAAAGAAGATTCCAATATTGCAAACCAGAGCTTTTTTTTAGAATTACAATGAGACAGCATTCTAAACTGAGCCTTTCCTGGGCAAACCAGGATATGTGGTTATCCTCCAACGAAGCACTACGTAATCTGTGAACATCCACCTCCCTAATACACCTCCTTTCACATTATTTTTGCTTGCCACATAGGCCTCTTTGGCATTTTTGGAACACACTGAAATACACAGACCTCTCCGGGCAATTGCACTTGCTTTTCTCTCTATCTGGAATACTTTTCTGAAAATCTGTGAGGTTTGCTCCCTCACATTCTTCAGGTCTTTGCTCAGGTAGTCTCTTCCCAGAGATACCTTCCCTGACTACCACATCTGAAATAACAACTGCTCCGCATTGTATTTGTCCGTTCTCATGGTGCTATAGAGAACTGCCCGAGACTGGGTAATTTATAAAGGAAAGAGGGTTAATTGACTCACAGTTTGCCATGACTGGGGAGGCCTCAGGAAACCTACAATCATGGTGGAAGGGGAAGCAAACAAGTCCTTCTTCACATGATGGCAGGAAGGAGAAGTGCCAAGCAAAATGAGGAAAGCCCTTTATGAAACCGCCAGATTTCAGGAGAACTCACCCACTATCACGAGAACAGCAGCATGGGGGTAACCACCCCATGATTCAATAATCTTTCACCCGGTCCCTCCCACCACGTGTGGGATCGTGCGAACTACAATTCAAGATGAGATCTGGGTGGAGACACAGGTCAACAATATTGCCCATACATTCCATACCTCTATGACAGTGGGTTAGGTTTCTCCTCAGCACTCATCACCAAATATAATGAAATATGATAATATATGTGTTTATTGTCTACCCACTCCATCTACAATTAAACCTAGCGAAGGTAACAGCAGTATATCTATTGAATAGATATAGAGGAAATTCTATATAATACATATAGCCCCTCAACTCTTGGTGCTTACAGGGCTATATCTATTATATACACCGCTATATCCTAATGCTGGGTGAATAGTTAGGTACTCTACTAGTTTCTTAAGGCTGCCATAACAAATTACCATAATCTGAGTGGCCTAAAGCAACAAGAGTCTATTATCTTACAGTTCTGGAGGTTACAAGTCCAAAATCAAGGTGAGCAGGATCATGCTTCCTTCAAAGTCTCTAGGAGAGAAAATCCTTTAAGGCCTCTTCTAGCATTTGGTGGTTGCCAGCAATTCCTGACATCCTTTGATTTGTGGCAGTATCACTCCATTCTCTGATACCATCTTTACATGGCTGTCTTTCCTCTGTGTGTCTCTATTTCCAAATTTCCCTCTTCATATAAGGACATCAGTCACTGGGTTAGGGCATGCCCTAATCCAATGTGACCTCATCTTAACTCGGTTACATCTACAAAGACCCTATTTGCAAATGAGGTCACATTCACAGGTTATAAAAGTCAGGAATGAACATGTTTTGTGGGGGGGACAATTGAACCTAGCGCAGGTACCAACAATATATATATTGAACAGATGATAAGAAAATGTGTAAAACTAAATCAGAGTTGAAGAACTTCCTAATATTTGGTATTGTAATTTTACAGTTGCTTATCAGAGATCAAATTCTTTTGTGTCTGTTAAATTTATACGATGTCTTTATCAGATTCCCTCCATCTTCACCCTTCCAACAACAACAAAAATGATTAAGAACTTATAAAGGAACTATGCTTTTCACAAAGTTTTTCGTGATTTGCAAATATGTAATGTTGATATGTGATAGCTTATTTTGGTTTTAAAAGAGATATTTGGATTTATAAAATCCCCAAAGAAAATATATAACTGAAAACACAATACTAAGATATTTAAAAGTTGGCTATATAAGTAGGCTAAGGCCAGTATCATAGCTATCTCAAAATAAGTTTTTAGTTTGACTCATGTTTTCAGTTGGCAATAAATATATTTTTGAGCAAAATTACAATAGCTGTGTTGCTTTTTAAATTTGCACCCTCGTGTCCTATCTAATTTTTAAATTCATCACAAAATTCAAGTAGCAAAAAGGAAAAAAATAAATGCCCTTCTGGAAATAGATGTTTTTTAAATATAATCAATTGGATAGTCACAGACATACAATCATAAAGCATTTTTCATGTTACAGAAAATAAGAAACAAAAATATTTTATTATGAGCAAGCAAAAGAAAACAAAGATGGAAAACAAAGTATTTTTTAAAAACGTATAAACAGATTTTAGAAACAGAAAGCCTTATTCCCCAAGGATAGACCATGCAGACAAAACATAATCAAAGGAAGTGAGATCATTCAGTAAAGTATCATCAACACTAGAGGAAATGAGGTCCAGAGAGGAAAAATTATTTGCCTAAAAAAATAAAAGAGACTTTCACTAAGCATATTCACACTAGTCTGGGAAATTAGTATAACATTATGACATGAATACCATTTATTTGTGACTCCCAACTCAAATTTTTCTTCTGACTGAAAAGAACCAGTGCATTTAATGGATTTCTGATTAGGACTTTTCTTTGGTAAATAAAACTGCTAAGGATCAGTGGTAAAAATAATGTCCTCTTTTTCTTACATGACAGGAAACAAATCTTCATTATTTTAATCCACCCCCAGATAATATTCAGGAGTCAAAAATTAAAAGATATGAAATGTCTGTACCTTCTAGACTTTGCTTTAATGCTATCTGTTGAAATTATCTTTTTTTTATTTGGTTCAAGTTTTCCTATGCTTTTGTGGGATCAAGTACTTTATTTCAGAAATGAATAAATTAGCTTAAAAAGTTAGAGCTTAGCCAGGCATGGTGGCTCACGCTTGTAATCCCAGCACTTAGGGAGGCGAAGGCGGGCAGATCACTTGGGTCAGGAGTTTCAGACCAGCATGGCCAACATGGTGAAACCCCACCTCTACTAAAAATACAAAGAAATTAGTCGGGCTTGGTGGTGCACACCTTTAATCCCACTACTCTCGGTTGGCTGAGGCATCAGAATCGCTGGAACCCAGGAGGTGGGAGGTTGCAGTGAGTTGAGATCATACCACTGCACTCCAGCCTGGGTGACAGAGTGAGACTCCGTCTCAAAAAACAAACAAACAAACAACAACAAACACTTAGAGCTTACAAAAATTATTTTCTTATTCCAATGTTTGATTCTGGCTTTTGCATAAATGAAAGTATGTTTTGAAAATGTTTTGAGAGATGCATCTATGTCTAATATATAATTTTATCTATGCACACTGTATACATATGTGTATGTATGTACATAACATTATTATACATAATTATGTGTATATTATATATATATTATATGATGTAAGATATATAAATATTGCTCAGCAATATTTGGTAAAAAATAAAGGGCTAATAAAAATGTTTTGACAGGTTTCTGTCTCTTGATGTCCTGAAATGTTCACCTCATTGCCATTAAAATAATCAAATAATCAAATAAAAAAGGCATCCCCTAGTCTGGCAGTAAATAAACAAGAAAGCATTTCAAAATGTAATTATATAATTTTGAGAAAGTCATTATATTACTTTGACTAGATTTAGAATAATTCCTGAGAATACCTTAAGTCCTCTAAAATTACCCATTTTCCTCATTTGTAAGTCTAACCAATATTCTCTATAATAGAAGAAATGCTAGGTATTAAGAAACTTGCTTTGAAACTCTGGTCTCCATCATTCATTATAGTAAACCATTATTTATTCTGCACTTCTGGTTTACAGTAAAGTTGTATCAAATTATTCTGTTCATTTACTGCACAATTAGTTGATTTCTTTTATAATATTTTTGCTTTAGGCAGTTTCCAAACCTTTTAATTATTATAAAATTAAAATTGTTCTCCAATGGCTGTTCTTTGGTGGACTATGGCATTTGACATAAATTATTTTAATGCTCTAAATTCTAATTTCTTCCCCACTACATTTTAGAAAATTATTTAATTAATTACACTGCATTAAATTTAAAGACAAACACATTAAATTTGTAAATAAAAAGTTCAACAGGTAATATGTAATTTTTAAAAACAATTACAAAAGTATATTAGTAGCATGTAAACATTTCAAAATGTATGTTTTAAGCAAGCCATTTTAAAACGATACATCAAAGAAACAAAAAGGAAGGAAAAAGTTATTGAAGGAAGTCTATTTAATAAGTTAGCATTCACAAATGGACTATAACCTTAATGTAAGACAGTGAGTTAAAAATTTACCCATAAACACGAGTTTAGAGACTCCTTTTAATCTATTTCCTTACAATTTTTGTCCTTTTTCTGAAAATAACTATAACTGTGACTTTGTGTTTTTCTTAAGAACTCATACTCACTGAAAGTCTTAAAAAGCTAAATATATTTGATCCCCTAATAAATGAAATAAAGAAAAACGTTTCTGAAATTTTTACTTCTGAAGTGAAAATTGTCATATGGTCCATTTTATTTTTGATATTTTATAGTGAAACTGCAAACCTGTCGTTTGTATCAAACTCCCATACAATTCATTCAAAATATAAAGGAAATAGAAAAGATATATAATTCTAAATCTCTACTCCAAGTTGCAGAAGCAGACTTCTTGCTAGTCAACCTGACTTCTTGAGTTTTGGTTACTATGATACCTATGGAATAAATTAGCACTATTTCAAGCATGTCAAAAATGCAGAGACATTAAATAACTTGCCTAAAGTCAGAAATGAGTCAGAGATCCAGCTCAGGCTCCGTCCAGACACCCTGCTTTCCAGTATCCTCTAACTGCATTCAGAATTTGTAATTATTTCTCCATTATTTGATTAAATATAGGGACAATGTTGATTCTGGCTTCAATCCAGAAACAAACGTGGTGATTGGTTTAACTGAAAGAAAACTAAAAGAGGAGATTCAAGGGCAAATCTCAACACTCTGGCATTTTTCTTTTTTCCTCGTTTGTATGACTTTTTGTGAAAGATCCAATAATATATCTTTATAAAAAATATATTTTTAAACTTATTATTATATTCATTCAGAGAGTTTTTGTACTTTTACTTCAATAATGTTCCTTGAAGATTAAGTAAAACCAAAGTTCAGCTGAAACTTTGCTTTGTATTAAGCATTAAGGTAATAATATTTTACCTATAAATATATGAATTAAAATGTCATCTCAACTAAAATATGGAGATAAGCCAAATTTTTCCTAGTTATAAAAAAAGAGGCAGGTTAATAATTGCCAAGATGAAATGGTCAGTTTATTTGCCCTCTAAGAAAAACAAAAGTAGTTCCTGAGGTGCAAAATTGTGAAATTTAACTGGAAGCGTCAATTATACTCTGGACAAGTTGTTCCTTTTGTTTTAAAATCCTCTAGAAGATTTTCTAATGTGTGATAGGTGCCTGTTAGCTCCATTAATCGTATTGTGTAACAGTTTCAAATTGGAAATCCATGTTTATCATTTCTTCTTTCCTTCTGATGTAACTCAAGCAGCTGTTTGCCAGTTGTCCTGTGGTCCCTATTTATTCATTCAGATTCCAGTAAAATACCAGAGTTGTGTTTTCTTTCTGTTCTTTGTTATTTACTTGACTCAAGCACTGACGATGTTTGGCCTTCCCATTAAGGATTTTCCTGTCCTTCACTCAGACATTTTAAAGATTATTAAGGGAAAGGTAATCCTGTTGATTTACTGGAAAGAAGAAGAAGAAAAAAAGCCAGTTAGGCTGAACTGATCTGCACACATGCAGAAGAAGTGGAAATTATACATTCATAATTGTAGAGAATTCAAGATGCTAACGTCAAATTTCAAAAGGAAAAATATGGAATTATTTAGCTAATTCGATAATTACCTCTGTGGTAAGATGATAGATTTTGAAATACAAATCTGTCTTTCCTTATTGTATGCCTTTTGCTTTCTCCCCATTCAAGCAATAATTTAGCCTTGTGTTCATTTCCTCACTGGAGGGACATAATATTAACAGCAGCTAACACGTGGTACACTTATCATGTGCTAAACATGGTAATTATATCAACTTCTCAGCCACGCAACCTTATGAGTAGGCACTGTTAATGATCTCCATTTCACAAATCAGGAAACCAAGGCACAGAGGTTTAAGTGAATTACATGAGGTCACACAGGTAACAAGAAGTGGAGTTGGACTCAAAGGAAATCCTGCTCAGAATCTGTGCTCTTCTCTACTAAAGGTAGACTATGCTGTCTTTTGGGGACATGGCTGGCATCACTGCCTCAGGAGAAACGGGCAAAAGCTAATCACACAGTAAAAACCGACTCTAGGGCCAATATTTTGTGAAGAAATTCCAAAAGCCAGATTTTCTCAGAGTAACATTATTCCTTTAGTCCATGGATGTACTGCCATAACATGATGGAAGAACCATCATCAAGAAAGATCAAAATTATTGCTGGGTGTGGTGGCTCACTCCTGTAATCCCAGCTCTTTGGGAGGCTGAGGCAGGTGGATCACCTGAGGTCAGGAGTTCGAGACCAGCCTCACCAACATGGTGAAACCCCATGTATTTTTAGTCTTCACTAAAAACACAAAAAATTATCTAGGCATGGTGGTGGGCATCTGTAGTCTCAGCTACTTGGAGGCTGAGGCAGAAGAATCACTTGAACCCAGAAGGCAGAGGTTGCAGTAAGGTGAGGTCATGCCACTACACACCAGCCTGGGCTATGGAGTGAGACTTTGTTAGGAAGGAAAGAAGGAAGGAAGGAAGGAAGGAAGGAAGGAAGGAAGGAAGGAAGGCAGGCAGGGAGGGAGGGAGGGAGGGAGGGAGGGAGGGAGGGAAAGAGAAAGAGAAAAAGAGAGAGAGAAAGAGAAAGAAAGAAAAAGAAAGAAAGAAGAAGAAAAAGTTTTTACTTTGTACAACAGTACCAAAGCTATAAAATGAGAATGAGACCTGAGATCACTGGCTGAAAGAAATACAAGAAAAGAACAATATATAATAGGACAACAGGTACAGTCCCACCAAGATCAGGCTGATTAGGCTCCCAAACAGATTAAAGGAATACTGTCAATTTTTTTTCCTTCTCCTTTTGAAAGACCTTATTCAGAGAACTCTTCAATTAGCACATCAGTTACAGCACAGTTTTCATCCAAACCCTCTGAACCCTGTATTATGCCTGCTGGATTGAACACCTGTCCACTATGTGATACTTGACCCAGCCCCCGTGGGAAGGTACAATTCCAGATCTCCCTGCCTCCAGTCCACCTAAGCTTGCAGCGAGGAACATGTCTGCTTAAGGCTGCGTGAGGAACTAGACTCAGACAATGGATCTTATATCCTTGACTCTATTCCACCAGCATAAATTTATGATGGATTTTCCAAACTTGACTCCCACTTCAGGAGGCACCCTTTTATGGGACTTATAAAACATGCTCTGACTACAATGATAACATTTTTAACTTCAAATGTGCCTTTGATTAAAATATTTCAAATGGAATGTATTGTACGTATCCAGGAAAGAGATTGTTAAGAATAGTCTTCATTCCACCCAACTAGCAGAGCCTCCTCAGGTGGAGGTAATCAAATTTCTTCCAAAAATGTTGGTTTAGATATCATCTCAAGCAGAGCCCTGAAAAACTAGAAAATTTATTTGCACATAAAATAGGTCTGAACAATTCCATAGAGAAGCATTTTAAAATTAATAAAACTAAACCAATTTTACTAGTGAGTCATCCTAAATATTCCCATTGTTGATGTAACGAGTGGAAAGTTTAAATTAATAGTTGCTCAAGAAACAGATCCACCTTCATACACACTTCTTGGGAAAGATTCTGACAACACGAACTACAAAAATAAGGGTAAAGGCGGATAAAGAGAAAGACGAAGAAAAGGAACCAAGAAAAACGGAGGCGCTTTGTAACATGTCAACTTGGGTAGGCGGAACTACACTTCCCAGAATTCCTTTTACCGTATCGTTTCTATTAGGAGCCCCTGGCAGAAAGGAAGTGGCAGCCATCTTTGTAGCTCCCCAAGCTGTTTCGTATCTCGCTGGTTTTAAGATAGTGGCTAAGCCTCCAGCTGTTTCACTTCTTTTCCACGTAATGTGGAGCCTCCTTTAGCTCATAACAAATGGTCTGGCTTCTGTAGCACACCCACGACCAAGGTCGGAGGTAAAAAGAATTGACATAGGTTTCAGTCCATGCTCATAGATTCCAGCTCCTGCTCCTATTAACGTTTATCTACGTTCTATGTTCTCACTTTCCAGCGGTTCATACTTCAAGCTACAACATCATCCGCAGAGACAGCTGCCTTTCAAAGAGTGCTTAACCAGACCCCAAAGTTGTATTAAGTCAGATCCCTTATATATCCAAGAAGCTCTGTTTCTCTCATTGAACTTTGTAACTCTGAGGCTCCCACTCAGGAAAGCTGAATGCCACAGAAGGAATTTTCTCACTGCACTATTGTTTCTTCCCAGAGCCCTCTGTTGTTTGGCTCACATCTGGACTGCTTTCCCTCTAGGCCTGCTATATGAGGCATGTAAAAAGTAATACTGACAGACATTTGACAGATTCCCCCAAAATGTGCAGCTTCAGGTTCCACACAACCCGTGTCCTCCCCTGCATACTAGTTAAGATAAAATGAAACGCTTATTCACTTCTCGTCTTTTCAGAGGTTTCTCACCTATGTGTTTGGAATTCTTCCCGTCTGATTATCAAACTAATTTTAAATTGGTTGCCTAGCAGGAAAAGTGCAAAAGATGTTTTCTTATTTTTTTCTGCCACAAAGAATGAAAAGTGTTCTTGCTAAAGAATATGTTTATTTTTCTTTCTGTGTATATGCAAGGACTGTGGTCTTGAGTTTATTTTATGCTTCCGAATAACAACATCTTTCTTATTAAAGAAGAATCTCTCCAGAAGGTCACATGTTATTAAAAAAACAATTTCAACCAAATACACATTGAATTCTAATAGAAAACAGATTTTTTTACTGGTAACACATGAAGAAATTTAGCTATATTGTATAAAAATATGTGGGGAGAAAAGAAAACAAGAGTTCTTGTTAAGTAAAACCACATTTAAAAATACGCCTTTAAGAACAAGGAAGACGGAAGGGAACACAAGATACCTGCTTTCATTCTACTACTCAGTTAGGATGCATCTGCCTTTTTTGATGAACTTGTAACGTATCTTTTCATCCTGATACCTAAATCCAATCTCTATATGTGCCTCTTTTCTCCAGTTTTTAGATTCTTAAAATATTATCTCTTCATGAAATACCATTCAAGTAATTGGAAAATACATGATTCCTGCCACTATGCTAATATCTGAAAGTAGAATCCTCAGGGTTGCAAGCTATTCTGACAAAATTTCTGGACTCCAGTAGAAAATGTGAAAATATACATTTGATGAAAATATATTTGCACGTTTGAATTCACATTTTTTCTTTTTTCTGTTTTTATTTCTTAGAAAAAGGAATACAATCTAAATATAATTCCCTGAGATATAATTTCCTGCTTGCGTTTCAAAGTAACTATAGCTTAGGTTGAGAGACAAAAAAAAATTCATTGTATACAACAATACCTATTAATTTGTTGGTTGGCCCATATTTAGTTCATTATGGACAACTTATTTTTCTGCATATGCATTTGGGATTAGAACCTGGCATGTAAAACCTTTAAAATTTACATTTAAAACTTTGTGGGCCGAGTGTCGTGATTCACACCTGTAATCCCAGCACTTTGGGAGGCTGAGGCGGGTGAATCATGAGGTCAGGAGAGTGAGACCATCCTGGCCAACATGGTGAGACCGAGTCTCTACTAGAAATACAAAAAATTAGCCAGGCACAGTGGCACACGTGTAATCTCAGCTATTTGGGAGGCTGAGGCAGGAGAATAGCTTGAACCGGGGAGGCAGAGGTTGCAGTGAACCGAGATCGCACCACTGCACTCCAGCCTGGGCAATAGAGCAAGACTCTGCCTCAAAAAAAAAAAAAATATATATATATATATATATATAAAATATATATATGTATGTTATATATATACGTATATTATATATATGTATATTATATGTGTGTGTGTATATATATATATTTGCACTTGGATGACTTTGCCAATAACTAGAACTCCCTCAAAAACAAAGGCTAGGCACCCAACTCCCACATCCATGACCAAGAGTATACGACAAAGTGATTCCTCTAAGATTGAAATGTT